GGGTTCGGGGCTGTAGCCGGGGCGGTGACACGCGACGCGGGGTGTGGGTTGAGAGTCCCCCTCGCCTGGATCCGCTCTTCAAGACGCACGCTCAGGACCTGAGCGCAGCGACGTGACCCGGTCCCGGGTGCAGCTGGGCCCGCAGGGACCCTCCGTGCGGGCACTGGTCCTGGGCAGGGCCACTGGGGTTATTCCGAGAAGCCGCTGAAAGTGTCAGAGGGAGACTGGAACTCAGGCTCGGTTTTGTTTGCTTTTCGACACGGCCCGGGACGTCCTTGAATTCTCTGTGTAGCTCAGGCGGGCCTGAAACTCTGCGATCCTCCTCCCTCAGCCCCCGGAGCGCTGGCATTGCAGGTGTGGCTACCACGCCTAGCTAGAGCTCAGGCTCTTGGGGCTCCTTTTCCAGGGCTCCTCTGACGCCTCCATGCCGCCTTCCCTGCGGGCTCTGAGTGCAGGGTCAACTTTCATCCTCCTGTACTCAGGGGCTGGGCAGGAAGGCGTTGAGGGCTTTGTGTCACTGAGGAGAGAAGGTGAGCACGTGTCCAAGGGTGGCTGGGGCTCCCGGGGGCGGAGGTTAGAATCTAAGAATGGGGCCCTGGACAGGACCCACGTGGAGGGGCTTCCTGGGAGGCTGCGGGGACCCCACGGGACAGTCTGTTAGGAACTGCCCCGTAGCAGCTTTCCGTTTATGGCCCTGACCCTGCGGGTTTCCTGTGCGATCTAACCGTGCGCCCCGGGGCACACAGGGACACACAGGCTGCGGTACTTTGCAGGGCTTTAGAGCCTGGGTACTTGGTTCTTTTCTCACGGCCCTCATCTGCTTGTACAGATGTGCTTAGGAGTTCCTAAAGGGCCTTAGATCATTGCTGGCCCAGGGAGGGAAAAAACCCTCAACACCTGCCTTTAGGTCAAAAACAAAAGCCACAACTCAGCTTCATAAAGAGGCGGGAGCTTTCATGCAGTGCACGCGGGGTGGGGTGATCTTCTCAGGCACCGGCGGAAATCGACCCCCACAGGCCTAGCGTCGCACTCACGGGCGGGGTCTCAAGCAGAGAGAAGGCTCCGGGGTCTTTGTCCTGGCGCCTATGCCGATGGCACAGCCGTCTGGTCTTTGGTCTTCCAACACCAGCGCGGTGCTGCCCTGATTACAGCCCGCGTACCTTCAGGTGTGGACTAGACTCACGCCCGTAGCAAAACCCCCCCCCCATCGTGCGGGAGCAGCCGAGTGACAGCCACTCAGTTAGGGGAGGATGGGCCTCCCAGCTTGACTAACAGACACCACCTTTCTGGGACCTACTTCTCTGTAAACATCCCAGGTGCTCCTGCCCGGTCCTGTGTCATCCATCACGCATCAGGAACACGTTTGTCTCCCCCCCACTTTGGTAGAATTTCTTGATTGTACTAATTTCCCCCTCAAAACTATTTTTGTCAACTTTGTCAGTGGACAGATGTCATGTGCTCTGCTTGTGGAGGACTCTAGGGTGGGCTAGGTGATGATTTCTGAGAGCTTGAAGAGATAAGGAAGGAATGACACTGGTGTTTGGAATTTTTTAAAATTTATTTTTTGGTACAAGGGATCAAACTCGGGACCTTGTGCTTGTGAGGCAGGTAGTGGGACAGTGAGCTAAATCCCGAGCATGGTGTTTGGATCATTAAATCCTCACACACAACTTCCGGCTGGAGACCAAACCTCACATATGTCAGGAAATCCTCTACCAGTGAGCTGTGCCCTCAGGCTCAATGGTTTCTTCCCTTTCCTTCCCTTTTTCTTGTGGTGCCAGGGATTGAACCCAGGGCCTCATGCATGCTTAGCAGGCATTCTACCACTGAACTATGTGTCCAGCCTTAGATAGGATTCTTCTAGTTGCAAATGACAAAACTCCAACTCAAACCAGAATTAGCAAAGAAAAGATTTATTGTTTCATGTACCTAAAAAAAGTTTTCAAACAATTGCCATAGGCATGGCAGGATCCAGGGGCTCCAGCGTCATTACTGGGGTCATCTGTGTCCACTCTTGGGTTTTGCTTTCCTCTGTGTGGGCGGGAGAATGGCAGCCATGGTTCCAAGTCATCCCCACCTGCTCAGCCTGGGAAGCAGGAAGGGAAGGGCTGGTTCCCATGAGTTCTACACCTATCCTTGGATTGATTCTCAGGAGCTCAGCTTTCACAATGTGCTTGTTTTGTTTGTTTGTTTTGCTTTGTTTTGTTGTTTTTTTTTTTCCAGGACTGGGGATCGAACTCAGGACATTGTGCTTTCCAGGCAGACCCGGTGCCACTGAGCTAAATCCCCAGCTCTACAATGTGCTTGCTTTAAACAGATCACTGTGGCTGGGGAAATAGGATACTGGAATAGGTCCAGCCTTATTTGTAGGCTCTGTCCTGGAGCCAGGAGTTGGCATCAGATAAATTAAAATGGGAATTATTTATTGTTATTATTATTACTACTACTACTATTATTTGGCAGTACTGGGGACTGAACTCAGGGCCTTCACACTGAGCAACATCCCTTTTTTATTTTTCATTTTGAGACAGGACCTAGCTAAGTTCCCCAGGCTCAGCTCAAACCTGCAATTCTCCTGCCTCAGCCTCCCAGAATGCTGGGATTATAGATGTGTGTGTATCACCATGTCCTGTTTAAATCCAATTTAAGAAGGAAGGGAATTGGCTGTACAACACAGAAATGTTTGCAACACTGCTGAACTGTACACTTAAATGGTTACTGTGCATATTTTGCCATAATTTAAAAATGTGTATTTTACCATAATTAACAATTTTAAGAAGAGAAAGGGAGGGTATGGTTTCCCTTAAAGGGGAACCAAGGCATTGTTACCAGAAAGAGGAGAAATGAATGTGGGTGATCAAAAACAACTGATTTCAAGAGCTCGTGGGGACCAGTGCTAAGACCAAATTGCATGCGTCTTTTCTCATTTTAATGCGTGAATGATTTCAGCCTGCACAGGGACAAAGAAGGAAGCAGAGCTCTGTCGTGACTGGCCAGTGAGGTGGGCAGGAGGCCAAGCCCGGTACCAATGATGGGCTCAGTGTGGCAGCAGCCCAATCCAGGGTGTCACCACAGTCAGGCCCCAGCTATTTCCTGCTGCCACCTCCAAGAAAGGCAAGGATTGGCAGGGGCTCCCCCTGGGGCTTTTCAGCCTGCTCCCCCTAGTGGAAGGAGTGGAATTGGAGGGGAAGGGGCAGCCCTGTCCCTCTTGCCTGTCCAGTGTCCCTCAGGGCCTGGCAGAGGCACCCAAGGGCTGCAGGCTCAGATTGAACTGGGCTCAATCAGTGTCGCCCACCTAGGCCCGAAGTCTGTGTGACTAGCGGTCTTTCTGTCTTGTATTTCTTATCTATAAAATAAAAATAATAAGGAAGGACTTGAACAGATACTTGCACATCCATGTTCAAATACAGCAGCATTATCTGAAAGTCTAAACAATTCAGCTTTAAAAGAAATGACGTTGGCTGAGTGGCTCACGCATATATCAATCGCAGCATGCAGGGAGGTTAAGAAGGAGGATCTCAAGTTTGAGCCTGGCCTGGGCAATTTAACAAGACTGACCCTAGAGCTGGGGATTTCGCTCAGTGGTGCTGCCGCCTGCCTCGAAAGCACAAGGTCCCAAATTCAATCCCCAGTACAAAAAAAAAAAGGTTGATCCTATATTTTAAAAAATATTGGGGGAGCTGGGTGTGGTGGCGCATTCTTGTAATCCCAGCATTCGGGAGGCTGAGGCAGGAGGATTGCTGTGAGTTCAAGACCAGCCTGAGCTACATAGTGAATTCCGGGTCAGTCTCACTCTACATAGTGAGACCCTGTCTCTAAAAACAAAAACAAACAAAAATAAATAAATAAATAAAGTAGTAAATAAAAAATATTGGGGGAGCTGGGTGTGGTGGCGCATTCTTGTAATCCCAGCATTCGGGAGGCTGAGGCAGGAGGATTGCTGTGAGTTCAAGACCAGCCTGAGCTACATAGTGAATTCCGGGTCAGTCTCACTCTACATAGTGAGACCCTGTCTCTAAAAACAAAAACAAACAAAAATAAATAAATAAATAAAGTAGTAAAAAAAATATTAAATGAGATCTAAAGTATGTAAGAAGACTTTGCAACTTCAAGTGCCATTATCATTATCATCATCATCATCATCATCATTATTATAATTATTATTTTGTGCTGGAATGAAACCAGGGCCTTGTGCTGCCTAGACAAGCTACCACTAAGTTACACCCTTAGGTCCCATTATCACTACTGACCAAGAGCATTAAGTTAAAACCCCATTCAGTCAGACGCATCCAAGAATTCTCTAAAAATTATTATTGTTATTACTATTTTGGAATTTAAAAAGTCATAATATTCCCAGTCTTTTATGAACTCAAATAAGTTCTAGAAGAAAACAATCAGCCTTAATATAGGTTAATTTAGTTTAATTTGAGGGATTTTACAAAGGATAAAATTGTTACAGCTCAGTGTGGCCGTGCAGGCCTGTAATCCCAGCACTTGGAAGGCTCAGGCAGGAGGATCACCATGAATTCCAGGCCAGCCTAGGCTACACAGTGAGTTCAAGGCCAGCCTGGGCTACACAGCAAGACCTGCCTCAAACAAAGTTAAATCACTAACATGCATTTGAAGTACTGAGGGGAAAATAGCCTGGGGTCAGCAGTCTATTTTGAAAATCATCAGAAAATACAAGAGAGCAAAAATGGATAGA